ATCATCCTTAGGCACAATTATACATTATAGTCCAGTAAACAATAATAACACTTTATATACTTTAAACTTCAGTAAAAAATCTGATTTTATTTTTTGTCTTTTTTCCCTCTGGGAAAACAACTCCATAATAAATGAATTGGAAGGTTATATCTAAAGTTCAAAACTGCTGTTTTAAAGTGTGTTAAGTGTTAGCTAAAACCAGAAGGACATTGATAGCACCCTCATATTGTGGTGATTGATGTGTGAGTGTGTCCATATTTATCACAGAGTGGACACACAGGTATTCAGGTGTTTTGTGAAGCTCTGGGTGGCAGGAAAAGGTTGGAGGAGTGCTGCAGTGATTGGCGGGGGGCTACCAACAGCAAGGGCAGTCCTCCCTTTGAAGAAGGGGACAGACACCTGCTCCTGTCCGTACGCTGCTGTGTGAGGCTGGGAAGAGAGCAAGAGGTCATGACCTCTGTGGGAAGAAGCACCTCCTGCATGGCCCCCTGTCTACTTGCCTCTTCGATGTTCATAGCAAGAGGCAAAAGGCAGAAAAAAACAATTGGTCATGCTAAACACCTTGTGTTTGCATCATCCTGCTCTCGGTTTCTTTTCTCCTAAGCCATCTGAGTAACTGGCCTCAACTCAAGAGTCATCTTAAACTGCAGCATTTGACCAGTTTCTGTGCTTGAGAAACTGACACCGAAATATCATACTCCAGCTTGATATTACTGTATTTATTAATAAATGTGAACCATCTCAGTCTAGCAAAAGTTATAGACTCTCAGGTCTCCCCCCTGTTTAATGCTGGACACGATTCACACTCTGGATTTCTACAGTTCTTCTAGCAACAGGATAAAATAAATCAGACTTCTGCTTCGTGTTGTGAAACCTGACACTCTCTCAAACTCTTAACTTTCTGCAAGAAGCTAACAAGCAGCTGTGCACTACAGAAATCCTGTCCCAACAAGCATTTCTTCCAACATGTCTCTTTGAAAGTAATTATAATAACGATGATGTTGCTAATGATTAATTTTTTTGTAGATGTAAGCACCACCTGCAAGTTGAGCAGTTAGGAATCTGTTAGGCAACAACGCATTTAAAGGTTTTAGGGCATTTCTCTAGTGTTGAGCATTGAAAATACTGACCTTTGTTAACTAAGAAATAGAAGGAGATTTATTACCTTTTCATGCATATACAGTGTATTGAAAAAAATTTAATCTTTTCCCCTCTCTCTTACTGGAAAACTGAAGGAGGCGAATGCCTACAATTTCTACAAGGTCGGAAGTACATCTGGGACAGGGATTGGAGCACGTGTATAGAGCACAGGAATGTCACGGTACATATTTCCAGGAATGCCAGCCATCTCTGTGAGGACATAAACAAATTGGGCCTTGGAGTTTGGAATGCAGAGTTTGGCTTTTAAAAACCAGATGGTTCACGGATGGTCCTTCAGACTATGAATGGCTGTTAGTTCAATGGCATTCTTCAGGAAATGTATTTCCAAACACTGCCCTGATAAAGCAAAGCTGCGTTCGTTTACCATTCAGTCCCAGTCAAGAGGTCGTTAGCACTAAGCTGTCCTATGTTCTTCCCTTTTAAAAAGTGAAGTTCTGGCCACACTCATTCAAACCGCATTAGGTTTGGGTGTCATATGGCAAGGACAAAGTGACCCAGGAATTTTCTTTCCTTTTCTTTTGTACTTAGATGAGCTGTTTCAGTTTAGGTAAGCTATTTCATCTTTAGATAGAAAGCACAAAAAAGAAACATCACACATGGCAATCCATTAAAATCCAATTCTCTTTCAGTTAAAAAATTCCCTGTGCGGAGCTTGTAGTTCTTATACTTAAAGTGTATTTAGGGGTCACTGAATAAAAAGGGCTGTCTGAGACTTGAGTTCTGAAATTGCTTCCTCCCATCAGCAGACATCTGTTAGAGGGGATATGCGGATGCTTCTTTGTCACGTTTAACAGGAAACCGTATGGTTCTTATTTTGCAGCCCTGTTACTGAACCCTGCTAAGTGTTTCCTATTACTGTGAACTCTTATGGGGACTTGGCCTGGTTCCATGGCTTCTTGACTGTGAATTCCATGCATACTTGTGTCTGTCGGAGTGGCGCGGTCAACAATCTTGAGGCAGAAGAGGCTTGACAGCAGCCCATGCGCACCCTGCTTGTGTTTTTCATTGGTTCACCTTAACAAAGTGAAGAGGTCCTTGTTGGAAACTGAGTTAACCCCTAGCTTGTTGGGGCTGGGGGCAGCTCCCGTTTTTCTGTCTTCGACTTAGGGGATAGAGCCAGACCACAGACATCACAACTCGTTTAGCTGAGCACTGAATCGGATACGGGATTTTCAAAGAGGGCAAAAACCTTCGACAATATGGTTTTTACTTAACCGTGAACTGACATAACCGTGCGCAACATTCATATATTGCTCTATATATCAGATGTATTTACTCTGGTCACTTGGTGATTTCAGTTGGAACACAAAATGGATAAAGGTCACAGCATTCAGCAGGTTTGACATGATCCGATGAACTGTGTGCCAATTACTGTAATTAGTTTCATGTTGTTGGTTCTAATTTCTGAACTATTTTTCTTTATCTAATTATCATTATTATAAAATAGTACCCAAACTGTTAACAAGCTTGAGATCTAGCCTTGCCAGACTATTCTGCACCAAACCCAGTATGTTTAAAGTACTGCAACCCATCTTGTCCACAATGAATTATGTTTTTAACCTTTATGCTATTGATTCGGAGTGGTGTGGGCAACAGTCTTGAGGCAGAACAGGCTTGACACCAGTCCATGCAAACCCTGCTTGTGTTTTTCGTTTGTTCACCTAACAACAAAGTGGGCCTTGTTGGAAACTGAGTTAATCCCTCACCTGTTAGGGGGCAGCTCCTGTTTTTTTAGCTACGACTTAGGGGACAGAGCCGGACCACAGACATCACGACTCTTTTAGCTGAACACTGAATTTCACACAGGATTTTCAAAGAGGCAAAAGCTCAGCAGTTCAGAATTAATTATGGTTTTAACCTTTATTCAATTTAATAAGAATTGAAAGGATTTTCACATTTCTCTCTTAAAGTAAATCATTATGCATAATAGCAGAAATGAGGGAGGTACAGTAAGTAATAAATTTAATTAATTTGAAGCGTAATCATTTTCAGTTGTGCAGCTTCAGAAGCTATTGATCCTTGCAAATATTCCTGAGAAATTAGTGTAAAATGATATACGTTTGTAATGTTCCTATATACACATTAGAAGAATAACAGCACTGAACTGCATCCCCATACTGTCTTTATTACTCAGATATGATCATGACACCCCTGTAGATACTGAAAACGTATTTTCCTCTGAGGTTTCCTTAGTCTTGGAGTGTTTTTTTCTAATAGTAAAAACTGCTCAATGTAAGAAGCTGATTAACCAGACATTTGTACAAGAAAGGCATGGACAAACATTATCACGCTCATCAGAAGTTCCTAATCGCTTGCCTACGTGACAGATTTACAGCAGAAAAAGTTGTTTTTCATGCAAAATAATAATTTCAATGGGAAATCCTGTTATCTCAAAAGTTTCCGTTTTTTTGAAAAGCCATGAAGTTTTCTGCTTCCCATCTGCATGTCTGCTTGTGGCTGGAAGTGTTACTCACGTGAGAGCTTTTCTTACCAAATACAGAATGTTCATTTACAGTACGTATGTCAGCTTCAAAGGCATATCCAAAACTAACCTTATTACACAGATGCCATAGCTTCACTTGCTGTGTGTACTCATTGTTCTGTTTGGTGGAATGGGCACAGTCAGCTAGTTTGTGCTTGATTAGTACAAAAGGATTGTTGTTTTTAAGAAAACTCTACTTCCAAAAAAAGAGGAAAAAGACATAACATTTTTCTTTTGTTTTACCCATCACCCTCAACCACCTCCCCTTCCCCTCCCAGCTCCCACACATAAAACATTTGGCGGAAGAGAAAGAGAATAGCGTCTTGAACTGTTTAATTAGAAGGTATGCCAGTGTGGGTAAGCCAGAAAAACAATTAAACGGGCCATTAAATAGAAGGCAGTTGTTTTTTTTTTGTTGTTTGACCAACATGCGTCAGCAAGTGTGGAGGCCTGCCTGGCCTTGAAGTTGCTGGAGGAATGGTTTCTGGACGTTCACCAGATCTACTGAATCTCTGTGGCGCAAAAGGAAGGAGATTGCATGTCTTTGTTGCCAGAATCTCTTGGATCCATTTAACTCACTACGCTGATTTCTCTCTTTACTCTGTAAACTGGTAAAAGCATGACGGTGAATTAGGCAACAAACGCATAATAAATTGTTTCTGTACTGCATTAAAGTAGTAGGAAAACAGAAACATTGTGTCATAGCAGTCAAAGACACAATGTGCAAGGCACTGCCACCATGCTTTCAGTACCTGAACTAACTTCAGCTTTCCTTAATGTCATAGTCGTACGCATAGAGCTCAATGATGTTTTTTTTTTTAATTTTAATAAAGCATTAAACAATTTTCATAATTTAAATTAACATTTCTGAGACAGGGTTTTTGAGGAGGCATTCGGGAATAATTGCGTGAAAGGAAATTATAATGTGTGCAGCGAATCTATCAGTGACGTTTGTGGTTGATTCATTCCCAGTTATGCAGGAGAGAGAATGGTAGAAGGTTTTTGAAGGACCTTTGATTAATCCCCAATTCTATTCTACCCTTTTCCTGTGTGATAACATTTATGTTGGCATGTAAAAGTCATTACTTATGTACCAACCAACAGAGCTGTGTATCGAGGAAACAGTACACCACAAGTCCTATCCCAAAGCTTTTAAATACATTTTAACTACCACAAAAAATGTAAATGTTAAAAGTGCATGTGTATCTTGCTTTCTAAAACCAACATCCATTTTTAAGCCCAGTAATGAAATGTTTTGTGTGTCATGTAGATAATTCTGTGTGTTTGAGTATATAAGAGACGATAACATACTGCCAATTTTGTGCTTCATTAAAACACACATTTTCTGTATTAACAGGTAGTGACTCCAACTCGTGTGGGGAATACTTATGCCTACGAGACTCCCTCACAGTACCAGAAGGACGTCTATGATGTTCCCCCAATACGACCACAAGGGGTAGGCTTTTTCAAGGAACCATCAATAAATGGTCCGCCTCTTAAAAGTATTTGACTATAAATTGTACCATCCTGATAGTAGAGAATTATACACAAAGCTGTAGTTGCATATGTGTTTAATTATAGAAAATAAATCCAAATGGTGATTACAGACGCTTCATTCTTTGCTAAATTCCTCTCATTCCTTTCTCATTCCGTAAAGAACAAAATACCTTGGGATGTTAAATCTTAATATAGTCATGCATGGGGTATGAAACAACGATACAAAAGTACTTAGTTCATTGTGAGGACTAGTAGATTTGATCAATAGACTTCATCTTGCAGTCTTAGAGGAGACAGAATTAGAGTTTCTTAATGATAAATGTAAGGCTCCTGGTTATATCTCAACTCAAGTAATAATTACAAATTCCAGACAAACACTAGCACTTTTTTTGGTGAAGACATTTCACTGGGCAGGCAGAGAAGAAGCCTTTAACAGACCCATAGTTGCAATCAGGTGTTAAAAGTTTGAGTGAGGGTATCCAGCCCTACTGTAAATGTGTACTTAGAAATGTGCAGCATTTTCCAGACTGTGTTCTCATTACTCCTTGCTGTTTCAATTGTACAGGTGTATGACATCCCCCCAGGAAAGCAGATGGGACCCATGTTTCCAGGACGCATGGGCGAACCTCGGACTCAAGGCGTGTACGATATCCCACCAGCCGTTCAAGGGGTACGCATTTTTAAAAATCTCATAACTTTGAACAACCACCCGGAGCTTTTAGTGCTAGAGTTTTCATTTTAGCACTCTAGCCAGTTTCCATTCAGGATCAAAATTATTTTTGCGAACAAATCTTAAAAAAAAAAAGAGTAAATCAATCTCTCATTCCTTTCTCCTTTATCCCCCAAATCCCCCCCCAACAAGGGATAACCCCCCCTCATCCAAACCCTATTACCTGATTAGGTGGCAACAACGCTCCTCTCACCACCTCAGCTGACCGCAACAATCTTCATTGTATTGCAGACAATACTGATTGATAAAAGACAATTTTTTTCCAAGCAGAGCAGGATGGTTATTGATGTTGCCTTCTGGGGTTTTCAGAGGTATTGTAGCAGATGAAATTTGAGCTTTAAAGGCCACCCTGTTTTAAATACAATATATACATTCTTTACACATGTATTCACTTTATTCCACCTGGACCTTATTCATGGCAAATACAGTTCTGTAACAACGTAATGGAAAAATAAAAGGTCTACAGAACAGTTAAGATCTGAAGTCTCTCAAGGCAGAATAAAATGTATTTTTCATTTTTTATTAAAGTATGGTAGTTCCTCCTGTCTGTTTTCTGAATTTCTACATTTCTTTGAAATGGTATATCCTGTCTTTACGTTCCTATAAAAAAATCTAAAAGTATCTGGATGTTCTGCATGGCATTTTATACCGAAGTGGTAATCTCAGAATTTTCACCCACCCATGAGAGGATCTTTCACTTCTTATGAACTCTGTTGTTGACAAAGCGAAAGACAAGATAATTATTAACTTTTCAAGCAGACTAACTTTTCTCTTTCCAAACTACAGATCCAAGTACAGTTTACATCATTGCCGTCATTTTATTTGTAATAATGTGAAATACGAGTGAACCTGTTATTTGCAGCACCCCTAATTATGGTCTTGGAAAGTCTGTCTTACAGTTGGGAGCAGCTTCAACCTCAGAATCCATAGCTGACTGAAATTACTTGCAGCTGAAGCTTTTTTTTGTGTGTATGTGTGCAGTGCATATTATATATTATGCCTAAAAAATATGTTGAATTTTTAAGGAGTTGCATAGTGTTCCCACATACAGACAAACAAGGTATTTCAGTTAAACTACTAGACTTAAGAGCAGAGTGGTTAAGTGCCACAAAAATGAGCTTAAGGGATGACCTCAGAATAAAAATAGACGCTTGTTAGTCACTCTTTCCAGTAGTTCCAATGCTTGGAATCCAGTTTTTACTCTGAGCAGTAGTGAGTGTATTCATAGAGAATGCACCTCTCATGAATGTTTTTTTTGCAGGTGTACTCCATTCCCCCATCAGCTCTGAAAGAAAAAGAAGGAAACTACGATTTCCCCCCACCAATGAAGCTGAAAGCTGAAGGAGTCTATGATATCCCTCCTACTGCCCTTAGTAAATCTTCTGGACAGTCCAATTATGATTTCCCTCCCAATTCCGACCTGCTGTCTCACAGCAGTAATGGGATTTATGATATTCCACCTGCTCAGATGCTGGGGAGTCAGCTGGGCTCCCAGAGAGATGTATATGATATTCCACGTGGGATGCAGCCCCCTGGAAAACAAAGGGGCACTATGGACAGGATGGCTGGAGATAGGGGCAAAGGTGTATATGACATCCCCCCTCAGGTCTCCCAAGAATCCAAAACTTTGCACGACATGACTGATGGAATCAATCGGTTATCCATCTCCAGCACTGGCAGCACAAGGAGCAACATGTCCACTTCCTCCACCACCTCCAAGGAGTCCTCAATCTCCAACTCCCCAGTGCCAGAGAATAAGCTTCTCTTGGACTTGGACACGGCCATTCAAAGGAATGCTTGGCTCCAGCGGTCTGTCGAGGTCTCCATCTTGGGTCTCATGGGCTACACTTCCCCAAACTGGAGATCGTATGACTACATGGAGAAGCACATGAATGAGATCCGTGCTGCCATTGACAAGGTGAAGCAGAGCCTCGCTGACTTTCTGAACTTTAGCAAAGGAGCAGTGGCAAACGCTTCCGGACTTTCTGATCTCACTTTACACAACAAGCTGAAAAAACAACTCCAGAGACTGGAGGACTCCAGCCAGATCCTGTCACAGACCAGCCGAGCCTTAGACGCCTGCAGCTGGTCTTTAAACATGCTTGTCACCAACAAGGCCCAAAGCAAGAGCGACGATCTAGACCGCTTCCTCATGGTATCAAGGACAGTCCCAGATGATGTCAAACAACTGTCATCTTCTATAAGCACGAATGCTGAGCACCTGTTTAAGAGAGCTCCCAATGGGTCTTTTTCTAATGCCAGCAGAGAGGAAAGCAGCCCAACAGACTATATATACAATAGCCCACAACCACAGAAGGGCCTGCCAAACATCGATGAGACACCTAACAGCAATGGAAGTGAGCAGTGTGTCAAGAGCTGGATGGAGGATTATGACTATGTTCACTTGCAGGTAGGTGAAAGCCATGCTTGTCCACTTGCTGGTCTTGGAGTGAGGCAGAGAGGAGACCACCAGCATGTTCTTTCTAAGGAGAATCAATCCAATATTTCTTGTAGAGTAGATTGCAACATACTGTGTAACAAAATAAGACCTTGAATTAAAACTTAGAATTGCAAGCCACAGTCCCATAAATTTGTTGCAGAACATACTGTATCAAGAAGTGTTTGTCAAAAAAAGGTCCTGTTTCACTTTCTTTTTCTTTATCTTGTGCTTCATACCAATCATCATTAATTTCAGATTATCACAGTTGTATATGTACAGCTCATAAATATTATTACAGTGAGTTTGTTAATCATGAGAGATTAGCCCACTGCTCCAGTTTCAGCAAACCAGACATGTTCACGAAACTCCACTGTTACCATATGGATGTTAAATATATTTTATTCAGCACAGGAAAACAAAGCATATTACTTATGCTGTGAAAGTCTGAGAGACCTGAATATCATTCTGAGATTACAGGTCATGGGGATGTCACTATGACAAGCATCTACTGAACATATTTTCTACAGATGACAGCTGTACCAGTAGCTTTGAAGTTCATAACCAGGGCGGTCACAATTTAACTTTTGTGGTCAATTTTGTCTGTAAACAAAGTTTGCATTTGAAGTGTGTCTTTGTATCTGAGGGTGTCATTCTCATCTGCCTATTTCTCGGTTCTGCGGGTGAGGTTTTACCTTACAGTTTCCTGGGGTAGTTGGAGACTCTGAAAATGATACCCAAAAGCATTTGTATAGTAAATGAATATGGGTACCATGTTTGACTTTACACCATATTATTTTGTGAAAATGTGTTACATAACCTGAACCCCTTACTAGTGTAAGACTGAAGTACCTGATTTGAAACATTTTTGTGTACAAGCATGCATTCATCAATGGAGATACATCTGTTGTATTTGCAGGGCAAAGAGGAATTTGAAAGGCAGCAGAAAGAGCTTTTAGAAAAAGAAAACATCATAAAGCAGAACAAGATACAGCTGGAACAGGAGCAGGTGAGAAGTGATACTGCATCCTCATGTTGATATTTCACATAATTTTTTTAAAATATATAATCTTGCCATGAGTTTCTTTGTGCCAGATATAAAATCTGCCCATTTTTGTCAGACACATGAGGAAATAAACATTAAAAGCAAATTATTAAGACCTGCTGCACTAGTGTGACAGTCTTTTCAAACGTTGGAATAATTAACTTGTGATCTCAATCAGTTTTTAGTTTGCCTTAACCATTTCCAAAAATCAAGCAACTATAAATGAAATGTAACAGCAGATTTGCTGCAGCGTATAACAATCCCCATCTGTTTAAAGTAAAGAAATCTCGATAGACAGATACAGAATGCATTTTCTAAAACATGGTGCTTGAGATTTGTGGACAGCATGAACCTTTCAATCAAGTGAGATGTTTCCATGGCAGCAAAAATCACAGAACACAAATGTGTTTTGTTGTGTGTAATGTATACATTTCTACTTCTAGTGTTCACTTTTCAGACAATTTCTGTATTTGACATAATTGGACTTAAAATAAAACAGCAAGCTTCTCTTACTTTCCTATCTCTGTACGAAATGTGGGTGAATTAAAATATCAGAAGCAGGAGACAAATATTTCTGATTCCTTTTTTTTTTGGCTCGTCAAATATTTGAAAGTTCATCCCTGACATACTGTATATCTTCTGTGTCCTTGGTTTTGTTTGCTTTTCAAATCTGAGCCTTTTTTCATCCTCCAGCTGAATCAGTTTAAACAACTGGAGAAGGAGGTCATCAAGCCTGTGGAAAATGACATCTCCACGTGGAGCGCGCCTCAGAGCCTCCTTTACACGAATGGCGGGCTCTGCACAAAGGACAAGCAGCTGCTTTTCTTCTACTCTGAGCAGTGTGAGACACACTTTGTCACCCTGCTGAACGCCATCGATGCTTTCTTCAGCTGCATCAGTGCCGGGCAGCCCCCTCGGATTTTTGTGGCTCACAGCAAGTTTGTCATTCTGAGCGCCCACAAACTGGTCTTCATTGGAGACACGCTGTCAAGGCAAGCAGCCACCCTGGAAATCAGGAACAAGGTGATGGACTGCAGCAATCTCCTGTGCGAAAACCTCAAGACCGTTGTGGCAGCCACCAAAATGGCCGCCCTTCACTATCCCAGTACTGCGGCCGTACAGGAAATGGTGGACCAGGTTACAGGACTTTCCCATCAGGCTCAGCAGTTTAAAGTACAGCTGGTGCAGATGGCTTCGTTGTAAGAAGGAGTCAGATCAAAGAAGTTGAACATTTTGTTTAAGGGAAGCAACAAGAAGGCTCCCCATTTCTTTTGTACATCTGAGCTTGTATTTTTGTGTAGGTTGTTTTTTACATTAAGGACTTTCTGATCTAGGAAGCAAAGATGTCTTGTAACATTTTCAGTACACTTTCTTTCATTTTAAGCACCTTATTTGTCTTCCATTTTATTTGTAGGTTAATGTGTTTATCTATATGTGCCATTATGTTACTGGAAATATACTCTTTTATGTAAATAACGTTTGTCTCACTCTTTTTATAAGTAAAGACCTGAACATAGAAAAATAGGATTTATTTTAAGATTAAGCTTCCTGTGTTTCCGATACATTTAGTAATAGCTGAGATTTTAGGTTCTCCCAGTTACCTTCATAGATTCATTATGGATTCTTATTGGCAGAACATTCTGTGTTAGAATTACTCTTAGTTTCCTTCAGTAACTTGATGTTATGAAAGCAGACTTTTCACAGTGTGGTGGAACCTCTTGCACCTCTCTGAAGCTGAAGCATTGTAACCTACCCCTGTGTAAATAATATGTAACATCTTACTGTGAATGTTTGATGAAGGGTGCAGGTACTTTGTGATTTCATGTAAACAGAATAGGGTTTGAGTATAGAGCTCATTTGCTATGCCATGGACAAAAAATAAAATCTCAATTAATCTTAGTCTTAACTTTGAGGTAACTCTAGGGTTTGGAGAACAGAAGAACTAACCAGAAAAAGGAAGAGTTAACAGCTGAACAAACAAGTCAAACAAGTGTCACTGGATTTTCAGAAAAAAACTGTCATTTATAATAAGTTCCTTTTAGAAATAGTCTATTTTTTATTATACTTTAGATTATGCTTTTTCTATTACAATAAATCAGAGCTGTAAATGACTGCATTTATCATTTTATACTCTGAGAAGGAATATTTATTTGTTTTTAAAAATGCATAAATTAAACTCATTCTACATAATTATGTATATTTTGGAAAATACTAAATATTTAACGAGGTACATTTAAGAAAGATATTTTTCTTCAAAGACATTTCTTTAGGACTGTGGGAATCTGGAATAAGTTGATACTAATACCTTTCAAGAAACAGCCGGCTGAGAACTACAGAAAACAAGCCCGAATGGCTTCCTCTCATTTTGAACTGTTCTTATGTTCCATATCATATGGTACCTGATGTGTAAAAAACATTTGTTTTCAGATGGTGCAAGACGTCTGAAGACCAAATTATATTTTATAAACATAGTATTGTCAAACTTATCTCCTACATTTTAAACGTGCTTTTTGAAATTAATCTCAAAAACAGATTCATACATACTGTGTATAATGTTTTTCATATGTGTCTCATAACTGTAATTTTTAAGTGCTGTAATAAAACAAGCAGCAATATTACAAACATAAAATTTGTTATGTGTTAGTACTGACTGAAAACAAAGGTTTGCACAAAATTGGAGAATATTACAGTATAAATATATATTATAGTTATATTATATATATATTATAGTATTGGAGAATTAAAACAATTAAAATAACTTGATGAAGCTGTTTCATAAATAATGTACAGAAAAATCACATTTCAATTCAATTTCTTCCAACAATACAGGAATGTAAATCTTTCCATTGTACGTTTACATATATATTCTCATTTCCATCCAGAATATAAATGGAGCAGTGTACTGTATATTATCTAGTGTATTTTGTAGCCCAATGTCAACAGCAGTAAAATATACTGAACCCAAGGAAACACTAGCATGCAATAGTATGTATATGTCATGTATATTTCTGTAGGGTAAAATAATTGATTAAACTCTCAAAGGTTATTAAATGGTCTATGCACAACATTAATTCACTACTTTAAAAATATAAAGTTTTCTGTAGTTTTTGGAAGGTGAGGCAGGGTTTTTTACATTGATATACTTTCCATCTGTCTATTCAGCTTTTTCTTTTTAACCTCATTTTATGCTAAGAGTGATTTCCTTAGCTCCCACAACAGTAACCGATGAACAGACAATGCTAAGCCAACAACTGGGAAGCAAGCAAGCAAGCTTCTATCCCTAGATGTTTGAGGTTTTCTGTCTCACAGGAAAGAGCAATAGTTCCAACCTTGGATGCTGAGCCCAGTCAACAGTACCAGGAGGGATCTGAGGACCATCCGGACCAATAAGTGGCATTTTGGTGCCAAATTTGTAAGCAGTGTCCAGGCATGGTGGCAGGGAACACTGCTATAGCAGGTGCAGCTCTTTCAAAAGAGATCAAAACCAAGCTACTGTTCACAAATGCTGAACCAAACAGAAACCCTGCCTAAACTCTTGTTCGTACTTTTGCAATCTAGCCTGCCAAAATTTCCACTTCTATCTGACTGGAATGTAAAAGGATAGAAAAAGTACTAGGTATTGTTATTACTGCATAATCAGCAGAATGTCCAGTGTGGGGCTGCGGTACCATTGCTGTCTGTGCTCTCTTGCTGGAGACCACTGTGAAAGTGAACTTTCATTTTTTTGTAGCGCAGAAAGAAACAAATATGAAAGGCCAGGAAGTGTATTTTCCCATGTTTTCTAATAACCCCAGAAGACTTTTAAAATCACTTCAGTTTTTCTGTTTCCAACATTTTGGAGTGATCAGTGAGCATGTCACAGCCAAATCAAAGAATATTTTTCCAAAACACACTTTTATCATAGATAACAACGAGGTTAAAAACAAACACTAATTCAAACATTACAGTAAAAGTGAAGTAGCTTTTCTCAGACATAAATCTTAATTTAGAAGAAAGCTTTCATAGCCTAGCACTGACTTTCTAGGGAAACAATTGCTTTTGTAAAACCTTTAATCTATATTTAATATTGTAAAGTAGACATATCAGAAAGCCCACAACCAGACTCCTTCTGTAAATTACAGACCGGCTCTAGAGAAGTGGCACATGTTTCTCAGCTGGGCCATTTTCAAGAGTATTCATCAACAAATTAACCGTGATGCAGCTTTAACAGTAAATTTTTCAGAGAGTGCACTACCACATTCCAAAACACCTTTTTGTTTTTTTTTAATCTTTTTTATCTGCGGGTATTTGTCAAATTATAACAAATGTGAAATGAATCTGTTAATCTCAGTCAGCATATCTGTATCAGTAAAGGATTTGGGAAAACCATTCCCAAAAGGCTGCTGCAATTCCAACTTCAGATACCACAGAAACAGCAAATTGGTGCACTTCGGAGACATACAGTACAGTACTGTACAATGCCAATAATCTGATAACTGACATTCAGGGTGTCAATAGATCCAGCACAATTAGATGGATCGAGGTCAGCTGTCTCCATAATCCCATCAGACAGTGGCTGCAACAGCCTGACCACTGTTTAGCAACTGAAGAATCAATTTAGCAACTGATGCAAGGAATTCATCCAGCCATCTCTCCTAAAATACGCATACACGTACTTCTTTATCACCTGAAAGACACGGCGATGATACAAGAAAACAAGTGTAAATTAGGTTTTGGTCTTTCCAAAGAGGATTATGAGGCAGCTCCTAAACCATTTTGTTTGAGGTTAATTCTGCAGGATCATTTATGAATCGACTTTTTCAAGATGGGGTTGAAAAGCCTCCATCCAGGACAATGTGCTTTCAACCTCTACTTCATTCATCAAGTTATTGCGTTTTCTGACCTTTGTTTTTCGTTCTCATTTAGAGATCTGGACACTGTGAACTGAAGCCTTGAGTGAATCTGAGTTCAACACACCCAGCAACTGAAGATTTCAAGGCCTGGTTCTGATCGAGGATTTCCAGGAGGTGGACTCAACCTCTAGGAAAAATAAATCCATCTCATTTTAAACTTAACGAGTGGCTAGGGTAAAGTGTTGGACTTTTTCTGGGCCTAGGTTAGGTGTTTTTTTAATAAAATTCTCAAGTTGCTCAACAAGCTCACACAGTCACACAAACCACAACAATACTCCCTCCTAGGGAGAAAAAAACATTTTTTAAACATTATTCATAACCAAGGCTCAAAATCTGAGGGGTAAAGCACAGTTGTGTTGTAGTATTTATAGTAGGTGATTTATGTGTGTTAATAAAGTCATTCTGGATTCTCCTTGGGACCTTTTGCAAAGTGTGCCGGAACAATGATAAAGCAATAAAGCAATAGAACTGAAGTTCTGTATCTGTAGCTTCACCAGACTGAGACTGTAGTTAAATCCGAAGAGTAATATCTCATATCTTTAATAGGTAATCAAGCAATCACTATGCAGCCTATCGTTGAACATTAGAGTGTGAAGTCCCACCCACATGACTGATTCTACTTACCCCAGAGATTGCCCTTTTGTGGATTCACACTGTGTGATGTTTTTCCTCTTCAGCACTGACCTGTATTCCTGTTGTCTGCTCTTTTGTCGAGGGCAGTAATGGACCGGTAATATTAAATTGCTTTTTATACAAAGGTAATGGAAATCAGGAACAAGCTAGCTGGGCACGTTGCTAGAGCTGATGCCTTGGTTTTTTTTTAAAGAAATGGCAAGATAACATCCTTGGATAAATTAACTACTAACTTGGGCTAATATAGTCCATGTAGTCCAAATGGGCTATATTGGCTGAATGAAATCCTCTTGTTCATAACTTTTCTTATGAATTAGACTTTGAGCAATATATTCATAAAACTGTTCTAAATTTCGCAAGTACGTAAGGAGAAAGTGTTTTATTTTGGTTGTGGTTTCGAAAAATACAGCAGGCCTACATTGGAATAAAAGAAATTCTCAGATACTTTAACGGATGTGTGAATTGATAACATGCGGTGATAAAACGGAAAGATCATTTACTTTGCATGTTGTGTGCCTTTGTCAGTCACGTCAATGACCTAACCAGTCATCAATTCCTACAGGTACAGCAAAGAAAATTATTTGAATATAGAGTAGTTTAATATTGGAACATCTCCATCCAAAAACAATAGGATACAAAAGTAATAAAACACTAGATGGCATCTTATTGTACCTCAGTGCTTTTATTTCCTCCTTGTGTTACAACAAATAAAAGCACTGGAACAGTGAAGGCTAGCGAATGACTTTAATTTTTAAAACATGAGCTTTAAGATGTAGCAGCACTGAAATACAATCTGGTTAATTCTGCTGTAGCATTATGATAAGTTAGGGTTTAACAAGCTGATCATTTCCGTAGCATTTCCGTTTTTTGTCTTCGAAGGTGATGCGGCCCTAACTCCATGCTACATCACCACAAATCGCCATCCATGTTTATGACAGACCATTATACAGTATGTGAACTTCTCTGTTCTGGTTTCCAGGCTTGCTATAGCAGTGTACGCCCCGTCATGAGGACAGTAAAATGGGCATGGTTCTATTTATAGACTGAGGAAAGTAGCAAGGAAAAGTCTCATTTCCTTGGCTTACCACAGTCATTTCCTGACCGTCATCTGTAGGCTCTAGTTTTCCAACATGTATACTCCAAATGTTTTTAAACATGTATCTTCAAAAGCTCCCTAAAACTTTTTTTTTTACAATCACACAATTCATGTGAACTGCAAAGTCACTAATCAGTATCGTTGAAAGTACTTCTTGGTTCTACACCTTTTCAAATCTTATAAAATGCTTTATTTTTTAAAGCACAGTGTGTATTAGGAAACAAATGTAATAGTAATCAACAATGTCTACAGTTGTAGCTAAGCATTAACAATAAAAAGTGAATATGCATTGAATTTACAGATGTGGTATCAGTTCAGTGCAAATCAGTTTCAAAACTAATACAAGTTACTACTGCCACATACATAGCAATAGACCTTATGTACATTTAAATGGCATGCATGCACTTGAAGCACAAAAAGATCTTCATCATTTAAAGTTAATCCTCCTAAATGTCTGTGAAAAGTAGTTCAGTTTACAATTTTGCAATGTGAAATGCAAAACTGCCATCTTGTGTTCAGTCTCCATATTGCACTTTAAGTATAGTTACAAGGCATGACTGCAACACGCAAACTCCCCTTGCACCCATCTGCAGGCAACATAACAGAAGAAAATAATTCTGAAACTAGAGACAAAAGACAAAGTTGGTCAATGGCAGAAACAGTTACATAAAAATATAACAATCTAACCAACTTTGAGGTAAGTCAAGGATGTCAGAAGAGTTCTGAAAAGGTCCTTAAACTGAATGAAATGAGCACAAGCCAGGTCATAAAGCTAACACTGATATAATTGGAGACACAGCTCAATGTCAGTTATTCTGAAAATAACTAAATACACTTTTTATTCTTACAAAATACTCAAATGATAATAAATCCTCCTAGTTTTCACTCTTCATTATTTAAGTAGTAATGTTCACTACTCACGCAACCAATCAGACCAAATGTTCTGCAAAACCTAGGATGAAATATTGACCAAATGGACATACAAATTCTATTACAGATAATTTACAAATACAAAAGCAATTGCATTTTACTATTGCAATATCTTAACGTCAGTTACAATAGGAATATTACCATTTGTTTAATGTTAAAATGAATGCGGTCATTAAGTTCAATTCAATTCTAAAACCAAGATTCTATCATATATGTGTCTTTACTATAGTACATTTCCAACCCAAGGATGAAATAATGCTTTCTAAGCAGAAACTGCCCTACCGGTTCAATGCAACTCCATCTAAAAGTGTTTGCAATAAAAGCTTTTAATTTCCCACAGGTTACATGCTTTTTCCCCAGAGAGGAACTGCACAAAATGCCCGATCCATCTAGGCTTATGTGGCTATAGGCACTGTTTTACTGTAACATTATAGCCCATAATGCAAGAACCTTCAAATAATTTCAGTCCATTGTCCAGCTTGTCCATTGTAGCAGACCGTTCTCTCAAAGCATGGACATTTTTCCTTCCTTGAAAAACTCCGACAACCCCCATGATCAAACGTGTACTGTACTGTATGTGTGTGGTTTAGGCGCATACTCCTATCCTCAACGGCATCGGTTTAACATTTCTCTCAACACCCCCTCCACAAGCCATCGGAAAAGTGTTACTATGGTCCACCTCCGTCTACAAAAAAGCTAATTTTACGTCACATTAAAGCTCAGCTGGAATGAACACCAGAAGAACCTGTGACCAAGAGGACCGGATGCACCTCAGTACCATTAATGAGTTTCCCTCTTTTTGGACATGGCTCACTGTCCAGGAGCTCAGCACAGCTTTCCTTCAACATTCCTCATCTGACATGCTGCCAGCTCTGAAGCACCTTCCAGGAAAGTCAGTGCCATCTGGAGGAGTGATGCTTCTATTACTCAATGCACTGCCAAACTCCAAGGTGTCTGGAAAGTTCAAGTATGACCAACTCAGGTGGAGTGATGTTCATAGGACGGAGTGGCCCTTGAGGCCTGAAGCTGAGGAACACCACTGTAACTCGATGGAATGGCTGACAGCACTAAGGGGAACATGTTAACTTTATAGGGCTGTGATTACATCTATACCCTAATTTGTATTTCAGGAGACTTTGAGAAAATTCTGTTTTTTTCAGTCAGTAAGATGAGTATTCTGTTTAACAAAGAATGACTCTTTTAAGGAATATATTAAGGGCGATTCCAGCTACAGTAAAAACAACACAACATGTAAACAGTTTACAGTATTCGCTATTGTCAGAGACCATGTTCAGAAAAAAACATCATATGTAAAAGTAGCTGAAAAGGGTGCTTCTTAATACATATAGAACATAGAAAAAACAACAATGTGAATGTGCAAGACAACTTGATACACAAGAAAAAATCTTTCTACAGTCATTCAGTTGCTTTTATATTTCTGAGTCAAGCAGCACTCCATGCAGAAGTAGAGTTAAATGACCAGAGGTCCACTGTGGTTCTAGTGTTGTCATAACATTCAGTTTTCAGAAGGCCTCCAAGCAAGGAGTCAAGAACTCTAATGTTCCCCTGATTAATGTTAAACCGTTATGCACTATTTCACCAACCGCTTTCACACATTTCTTTCATTGCACATTTGAGTAACCTTTGGAGTACAGTTTCGAAACTCACTTGTGGAAAAAAAACTGAAATAGGAAAACCTGGGGGTGGAGAGTCAGTCAGTTACAATAGTTTTTCCCCAATTAATAGTAAAGAAATGCTAACAGGTTGCTACAGCCAGTGTTATCTGGTGTTTGGCAAGCACTGCCTTCATCTGTAAACACAGCCGGTGTGATGTAATGGACAGTCATACGTCTCGCAGACATCAGCACACTGGAGCAAGTCAGTAGCCTTAGGGAGACATGGAAATCAAAGGTTACTGAACATGCTCTGCACTCAGCAGTACTAGTGGAGGCGTCACTAAAATTTTAACATAAAGATGTTACTAGCTCCTAGAACACAGGTATGTTCAGAGGCCTGGTCAGAGGGATGATGCAGGACACCGAGTCTCCCTATGTAGCTTCTTCAGGAGGGGCTTTCCTCTGCCGGGCCATCCTGGGTCTGTGCCGGGGGGTCGGGGGCGAGTCTCGCTCTGCCTCCGAGTCGGACGGCTCGTCGTCTCCCTGTTGGGATCCCGTGTCACCCACCAGCTCCCGCAGGAATTTGAACTTAGAGAGGAACAGCTGCCATACAACATACCAGCCTGCAGGCAAACAGCAGAAAAACACCGATATAATGACAATATCAATGTTTCACATCATGTCTTCTGAACAGATGTTAAAAAGAAAAAGGGAGTAGTACACAGACTTGCTGTACTGTAAAGCATGGTTATCCATAAGGAAAGATTCTGACTACAAGAGAACATGTAACCAGCTGTGACAGCATGATGTTTATTTTTCAGTTTGCTAATGTCTCCTCGACAACGCAGCTGATAGTACACAGGTTAAGCATCCTTACAATGGTTCTACACATCGACAGACATGAAGCTGCACTACAATTAAGGGGGAACAGGACAAAATGCAAAGAAATGAACATGCAAATTGTTCCCAAACACCTGATTTTAAATTAAATGTTTTAATTTAGTTGCATAATGTGATATTACAGTATTTTCCTAACAATTTCAACTGACATTAAACGCTATGCTAATATGAATAAACAGAAAATGTTTCTAGTTTTCATTTTTTTCTGCAAATAGCAGTGATTATTTTTTGTTAATTAATAATTAAATTCCACATTCTCCCAATCACACTAATTTTGCTAGCCCTGATGAGAGGAGTTAGCTGTTTGCTGCAACAGTAATTAAGAAATGACTAGCAAAAGGTAGAATGACTAATTTAATATTTTCACCTAAAAGGCAATTTCAAGCTCCCTTCTTGTATCCTAGGGACTACAGAGATGCACTATCTCCCTTGATATCACAAAGGTCAACGTGAACATCTGAAAATGGACGCCAAACTTATTTTGAGGCATATCTCTGTCAAAGTCTTCGCCCCAAATCCCTGCCAATAATCACACAAATTTCATCTTGTTTAGTCCACAGAAACTAGAAAATGGGATGTAGACTTTGGCCAAGAGCAAGCTAGTTCATACAGGTCAGGGTAAACCCCTTTTATTAATCATTCAACTCAGGCAATTTTTCCACACTATCAGTTTCATGCTGAAACTAAAAAAAAAAGATAAAAACACTCAGCTGTAAATCACAAGTAGACTGCCAGATGACCTCAAATTACACGATCTAGCCAAAGAAACAAATCTCTCCATCATTACTTTCCCATTCTGCTGAAATCTAAATCACACTCAAGGCATTCTCAGGGCTTCTGGCACACCTAAATTTGATCTGATTGTTTTTGCGTGTGGTTGTGTTGAAGATTAGACAGATGCTGGGCATGAGATCGTTACCCAGGACGTTATTTGGAAACATTAAGTCGTCACTTCTTTAGCTTAGCTATCCCACATCTGACAAAGACAAAAGGCCACTTTGAAATGTGACGCTGCTCACAGAGTACAGCCCACAATGAACTGCAAATTACATGCTACTGGATCTGAAGTCTTTCCAGTATTTACGTCACAGCAGACCAAGGCTGCTTTTTATTCAGCCCACTGTACACACAACCCACATCCTGATCTATGGGAAATCTGTGCAATGGATGCTTTTTTTACTTACCTCACCCCGAACCTGTAATCTTGTAACTACATGTTCAACAGTTCTCAAGCGCTAACACTTAAGTTAGTTATTTTAATGATGGTAGCCTTGTTTGCATATCCCATTACACATGTCATGTCATTTGCCAAACCACTCTATACCATAAGGTGTTGTGGGAAGCCAGAGCCTACCTGGCAGGCAGCGAGCGCAAGGCAGGTCACACCCTAGAAAGGGCGCCAGTCCATCGCAGGGCAAGTGCAAGCCAATCACACATGGGGTCAATTTGGAGGCCATGGTAAAGGCTGAGGGGGGAAATCTGGCCCAGACACTGGGATAACTCCCTACTCTTCACAAGGGGATCTTGAATGACCTCTGAGAGTCAGGACCTTGATTCAACGTCTCATCCGAAAGACAGCCATTACACGTGTATTACATACAAATATACTCTATGTCAAATTTCAGAACTTAGCTAGAAAAGCAAAAGTGAAATACTGTATACAAAGTCAAATCACACATTGGCACTTTCCTCTTTCAAAAGGTTTTAAAAAGGTTACTGTACAAACAAAGAAGAATGGGATAAAATCAGGGAATATAAGTTAAATCAAAATTGTACCAAGCACTCAATAATGTAATACAATATTTTTAAAGTCAACTCACACATTGGTTGACCCTTTCAATTAGCTGAAAAACATTATGTTATTAGAAAGCAACTACACCAGATGACTGACAATAGTACCATTCTACAAATGGTACCTTCTACCTAATTTCTTGAAAAGAGCCAGAGTATTGTCTTTGACAACACTGCTGTGTAGCTTGTTCCATATCTCGCAAAACTTGGCTGGGCAGTTTGTTCCCAACATGTAACACATTTTATGTTTGAAGTATCCAAAACCTCATGCATGCTTACAGACTTAAGAGGCGGTGTAAATTGCAGGGCTGTTTTCAAATCAACAGATAATAAAATGCAAAAATGAAAAGCCTAAAGTCCGTTAAAATTATGCTGAACACAGTACCAGAAACATCTGAGGACACTCTGAAGTAGGGCTGAACTAAATGAATGAGTCAAGAAACACACAAAAAGGAAAGAGAAACTTAAGCAGCCTTTTTGCACAGAAAGCTTAACAGGAAGTGGTCCAGCTATAACACAATTCTGGAGGTGACACTTTTTTTGTCTTGCAATGTTGGCCCCACTGGAGAGGAAGTCAGCATGGGTGCAGCATGCCTGTTTCTTAACTACAATGAGCACATGGTTAGCAGAACTATTTAAAAGGCTACAGAACAATTTAACAAAATGGCTGACTTTGGTGGTATAAATGAAACGGTGTCAGAGAGGTTCTCTCTGAACAGCAGTGGAAAAATAGTAAGGCAAACAGTACCTCACCTGTTCCATATCTCAAATCTAACAGTTTTATAAGACTTCAGTATACACTAGCAAACTATAGCAAATACTTCATGCAATAAGACCTGTCCTGTTGAACAAGCATCTTCTATGAAAAAAAGTAACAGAAGTGGTTTCACTGGTTTCGCAGGTCCCAGCGACCCTGGATTGAATAAAGTGGTTAGAAAATGGATGGATGGACAGGTGATTTCACAAGCAAGGATTACAATTATTTTTTTTTCAGTTTTCTACAGGCATGAACACGATGAATGTTCACACTAAGATAAATAAATCACACTCAAAAGCATGAACGATGTTATTAGCCCCTGGTAACCAGAATTCCCAGAAATACCGGAAAGGGTGGGGCTTGAGTAGGTCAGTGTTCCTAAGATTTTTGGTCCTTGTTAGCCGCAATATTGGTGACAGATGCACTGATCATCTCATCCCTTCAGGGCTACTTGTCCTATGGAAATGCTGACAACACCAGAAGTTGAATGGCAGGTGTATATGAACCCATCGTTCTCCCCAGGCAGCACAGGGACAGAAGCCAAAAAGTCAAGCCGATAAACAAGTGGCTGTTCTCAAACAGGTGGGTTAAATTAATCTGGGAATGTCGTGCCTTCCTCGCTGAGTGGCTCATCTCTAAGTGATGGCTAGCTCTGGGGATGAAAGTATGCCAGTATATAAATATTTATAAAGCTTGTAACCCTGAAAATGGAAACCTTGTAATATACATTTATGATATGGCCCCAAAAGAAACTTTGAACTCCAGGTGTTACAAATTCAGTTTAAGACCTCAAATAGACCTTATTTCTATATGGCATATTTTTGTTACAGGAGACTGGCAGTACCACAGGCAATAGATAGTACTCGGCGTAAGTGTTTGATAAACAATAAAGCTCTGCTCTATAAGCTCACTTTACTTTTTCCATCCAGTCACCAATGTGCTGCAAAGCATAAAAGAAACGTCTCCACCAGTAGTCCTGGAAAGCTGTAATTAAACAAGTCTTGTAAGTCGTCCTACAGGCATCTCCCGTGTTGCAGATAGAACCTTGTACAAGCAGTGAAACACTTTGAATAAACATAACATTTTACATTTTCTAAAGCACTATTAGATTTCTCCTATTTTCATTGTGAGTTGTGCCACTTACAAAGGCACAAGAGAGGAAATAATCTAAATCCGGGAATTCGTTCTTCAAGATTTGTTTAGAAACGTGACCTTCCTGTCAGAGCTAAAATTGTTATTTTGACAGAAGGGAGTGTATAATCGCAAACAGTAGCTGCATTTTCTTTTCAAATGCAACGACCCCTCCAGTACACTTAGTAACTACCCACCCACCCATTCGCTTCATTATTACAACGAAGCTAATCACAGATGAAAAGATATTTAAAAGCAATTCATTTTAATATAGTTTCGACTGCAATGCCGTCGCCCCCTTAATACAGAGAAACAAACTGTGCTAATGGTATGACACATCTCCACAGGGCTACTTACCAAACAGCATGAACAGCAAGACGCATACAAGGGTGGCGACAATAACCAGCACAGTCAGACCGACGCTTTGCCACATGTTCCCCCCAGCACAAATACAGTATATATCCCTTTCGTCTGTTTCTTTACGTTTTAAGCTGCAAGCCCATTTATTATTTTGGGCTGTGTGTGTGTCCCATAGATGGCAAACTACTGATCATTTTGCCGAGACGCAGGACCGTATAATAAAGCAGCGGCAACCGACTTTTACCGCTGCCACACTCGGCAAGCGCAAGTAGCTGTTTCTGCACAGCCCGCAGGACGGAATATAGATAGACCTATCATTAGAAATAAATACATAAAAACATCTAGACAATTAAAACATGTAAATGCATACTAGACTACAGTACGCGAGAAAACACACCACACACAACCCTGAGTCCAGTAGCGCTTGCGTGCTTGACGCCTGTGGAGTTGTGGGTATTGTTGTTCACAGAAAAGGGACTTCGGACAATGCAGCAAAGTGCGGAGACTACTTTTCCCAGAAGTCTTTAGTAAACTATCTTTAACATGACGTTCAGTGATGCGATAGGGCAATAAAAAGACCATTCCTTAAGACTTTGTATTAGTAGGTGCTAAGGTTTTTCGTTGTAGGATTTTTTGGGGATATTAACAGAAACCAAAATCTGCACATCTGTTAAAAACTTTCAGAACATCATTTTTCGAAATGCAACAAATCGATAACTAAGAATTACTGGTTGTTAAATATCTCCCTTGTAATCAGACTACAGCGGTCTCTGTCAAGTCATAGGTAGACTTTAGACCTAGTAGGCTCATGTTCTCCCCCCATTTACCTTAAAAATGCTGTACACCATAGACATATACTGCATTACTAGAGCCCCACAAATCCTTTTTTCCCTGATGTTAATAGCTCCTGTACTGCTACAAGGTGTTAAGTAGGTTCACCACATTTATAACTAGGGTAGTGGTATTTGTGATCTTGTCTTAATTGAAGTTAAATACCACTCTGTCTTTTACTGCATTCATCAAAACATGTGAGAACAGATCAAATGGAATAACATTTCTCTTGTAAATAAAGATAAACGCTATTCAGAATTACATGAAATTCTATATCCATTGAACATACAATTACAGTAGTGTTACCAATTTGTAGCACGATCTTAGTTGAGCTCTGAAGCTTAGAGAGGCCTGGTCTGGTTAGCCCTGGGATGGGAGACGCTAAAGGAGAACCAAGCAGGTACTGTAAGAGGTGTTGTTGGGTCAATAGATGGTGCCTTTTGCCCTGAACAAGGATTTACAAACCAGTTCCCCATTATGGTGACCAGCATGCTGTGCTGTAGAAGAAACCTTCTTTCAGATGAGTTAAACTATTAAATTGAGATCCTGTGTACATTAAAGATCCCCTTGCAATGATTGTAGGAGTACTATAGGGGTGTCAACCCTGGTGTCCTGGCTAAATTTGACTTGAGTCTTGTACAATTTGGCCTTCCTAAAATTAACACCTTTATGCAACTGGTTAAGCAATGTCTTGTTTCTCTGCCTGATCTGCTCTGTGAGTGTGGCATAATGGCTGCTGCATGTCACCCAGATGGGTGGTACATTTTAAAGGTGGGTGGATTGTGTCCACTCATGTACAATATGTAAATTATTTGGGGTTTCTGTCAATAGTGATTGAAACAGACTGTACAATCAATAACTTAAATACAATTACCTACAGTAAATATACATGAAATGAAAAGGCACAGTTTTTGAACATTTTTTCTCTTTCAAAAATAAGTGGGTAACTAAGGCTATTCCTGTGCCTCAGCCTTTTATTTACAGTAGCAGTTTTGAATAACTGTAAAACTATCAACTATACAGTACATATAGGAAGGAGAATAAGGATATAACAAGCATATACTCCTTTTGGAAGTTCATTTCAAACAGAGCAGGAGGTACTTCTTCACACAGATGGTTGTGGATGTTTGGAACAAGCTACCCAGCCATGTTGTTGAAGCAACCATAAACAATGTACATTTTTCTGTTAACTTCCTTAGTAAAAATACTCTCCACATGAAATCCTCAGATTTGACTGATTTGGGAAGGAAGACCACTGCTAGTTTCCAATAGACTTAAGAGAATAACTTATATGCTTGAGATGAAAATCAAAGCAAACCTGGCAAAATGTTTTCCTTTAACAAATTAAGTAGAACCAGTTTTAATTAAAATATCCAAGAATTATCTTGACTCCAAAGCTCTAGTATTTAGTTTTTAAGTACTATCACAGGGCTTGCCAGTGGAAGATGTTGAGAATATGGTTCCATTCCAGTTCATTTGCTTCATAGCACACAATCGAAGAGCTATTAACTTTGCCAGTTAACCTTTTCTTCCATTAAAAGGAAGGTACTTTTAATAGAAAGACAATTTGGGAAAAAATGCATTTGATCAGAACCTGAGTATATACATTTGATAAGTTTGCTTAGTCAGGTATACACCACATCTTGAGTAGTCCTGGTCACAGCCAGCTAGTGTCAAATCAAACAAGCTCACTCCTCACTCATTAATCAGGTCCCCCTTTTTTTAAGTTCCTAAATTGGAGAAATGCTCTCCTTATTTCAGTTGATCCCATTTGTCACTGAACATTTGGCTTCACCAGTTTTCCCCAACAAAAGGCTCTTACATCTTACTTTCCAATGTCTTTGTTGCATGACTGAATCCAATAACACTTCTTGGTTTTCCCTTTTATCTTTGCAACTAGCTCCATCCTAAATAACTCACAATGACTATACTAGCCAATACAACTAGAACACAAACCCTACCCAATCACCTTGAGGCCTTTTATATACTGAATTCCTTTAATCACATCCATTTGAGAATGTGTCCTCTAAACCCTTCATCCATTATCTAATAAATTAATCAATCATCACCCAGTGTGTCTATTAAGTGTGAATCACCCTAGCCTACCACAGTCTCCTAGTATTTGTTATTTTTTGCGAGGACATCTTCTTATGGTGATAACAAATAACTCTTACTGTTTAATACATTAAGGTTATTTAAATATATTAAAGATACATATTGCAGGTGTAGAGTATATGAGCATGCTGTAACTATAAAGTATGAAAATAATTGTCTACATTTTTAATGTCTTCAAATACAAATGTAATTGTTCTTGTTTTAAAAAAAAAAATGGCAATGTATTCACCTGTTTATAGGATAGGTCACTTTTCCTAGGTTGTTTTGTATTTGCCTGGTGGTTTGCCAGAGTCGGGAAATGTCAGTAAGCCAAAAAGATGGAATTCTTTTGTGTATTATCAAGAATGGTTATTTAAAGGTACAATTTGACTACTGAAAGCCAGGACATATTTACCCTAGCACATTATGTCACTCCTGTTCTCTTGTATGTTGCTTATTTTTATTATAAAGGGCTGATTTGAGTGTTGTTAACATAACTTTATAGTACTTTTATGACCTATGAAAATAAATAATGTTCCAGAAAAGCTATCTGTTTGATTAAATTAACTAGAGGTATAACACAGGTCATTATAATTGAAAATCTTAATGAATGAGGATTAAAATGAAAGTTATCTTTAACAATAATATTGTAACGCTTATGGCCGACAGGCACTGTGTAAGAGCCGGCGTACCAGAGCAGGTGACGTCACCGCCCTTCCCTGTGATAGCAGGACTACAGCTACTGGGCTGTAGGAGCAATCTCTCTTTAGCTCACGGGGCTGGGTCGCTGCAGAGAGACGCGGGAGTCCCGGGTTCGAGCCTCAGTCGGGATGGGGCCGACCTAATGCGGCAAGGGCGCCCGCCTGAGCCCCCGTTACTTTACAATATAATAACACTCAAACTGAAAAACACTTTGTATATATTACAAGCACCCTGTAGATCCTGTGGTGGTCTTTACTACTACAAGTAGTTTACATGTTTAGAAATGAAATGTGGCCAACTGGCACATTCAGTAGATCTTTGGATCAATGAACTGCTAAGTACCAAATTAATCTGAAGGCTGGAAAGACCTCCTCTCAGGATTCTAAGACAGAAATGTTGCCATTTTTACATCCTTTCTACATGAGACACTTCACTTCCCAGTGAATCTTCTTTTCTGCTTACAGTGAATATGCAGTGTTTTTCACAATCATTGTGTGATGGGGAAATGAACTATGACTACTTAACAGTTCTTGTGAAAGTGGAGAGTCACTTCTTGACCTGGGTGATGAGGAGGAGCTGTCCAGGGTGCTGCAGAAATGCTGCTGCAGTTTCAGAGCATTAATTAAGTTTTAAAGATCTGTTTTAACAATGAAAAACATTTTTGACATAACCATTAGGTTTGGCCATAAACAGATCACTTCCAAGAATACAGGTGTTTTATTCATAATTAAAGAATGCTGTGACCAAAACTTCATTTAAATATAAGAGTCATTTTATGTTAAAGTATCAGAACAATGACAGAAAAACATGCTAAATTAGTTAAATCTTTGGAAATTTAAAGTAAAGTAAAATACCTGTGTTAAAAGGTGATTTTTTGTATGCATAACCTCCAGTAAGCAACGGTGTTATACATGTCTGAAGTGGGCGTTGCCAAGATACTTTTTTCATTTTCATTTCATTGATCGTCCACCAGGTGGAGCCCTTCGGATTTGTAACACTAAATTCGGACATGGATATCTAGGTCTGCTAGATGTTCCGCTAGTCGCCATTATTACATTTCTATCGCTTGAGCTGCCATTTTGCTACGGTAATGGAACTTAGTTTCTAGCTTTGTGTAACCATGCACAAGATCGACTGATTTAAAGTCACTTATAACATTTATATAGTAAAATATAATAATTTTAAAACACTAATCGGAAAGAAAATGGTTTGCCACACACGAACCTTAGAAAACTGTGTTGCAAAATAAAATACAGGAATTACTGGTGTGCGAGCAACACTGATTTCCACAAACATTGCGGAGCACATAACCTGCTATGATACCACAATTACTGCACAACTACGGTCCAAATTAAACAGTGTTTTAATATATACTAAGAAACATTTTGCTTTTAGTTAACAACGAAGCTACACATTACCAGCAACATATAGATTTTAAAAGGATTGTACCTCCTTAAAACTTTTTATCTATTTGTAATATTATTTGAACTATGTAAATCCGTGTTGTGAAAACTGGTAGCATATCACAAATATGAATCTCTACATTTTGCAAGTTTGAGATTTCAGTAAATTTAAAATTTATAACACGTTTTTTATAAATCTCTAGGTTTCTGATAAAGTATTACCTATAAACTCCTGAAGCACAGAAACCATAACTACATATATGCAGATAAAATGCTAAATTTAGCTCTACTTGCGTAAAGTGCCACTAGATGTCACTCTTGGCTTTGATAGTAACAACTCCACAGTTCTCCAGCCGGTTTGATATAATTTAGCACACGTTGCTGTAGTTTTACTGCCTAATTCATT